CTTTGATTAACCAGTTGAGAGTCAAGTGCCTCTGGAGGAGACCAGCATGACTCTGTTCTTGAGGTTTGAATGATTCTCTCATACTGGACATTCCAGATCATAAAGAGATCAAAAAACTGAAAAACACTCATGTTATTAAAATTATTAGTAAAAAAGAAGTCATTTTAGTAGAGGTTAAGTGTATTCCATGGAATGTTTGGGACATACTTATGCTAACAAAATTATTATTTGCTAATCTGAAATTCAAATTCAATGGGCCATTAAATCACTAGGCTGCTCCCTTTCAGGGAGCCTCTGGGGTCTAGTCTTCGTCCTGTTTATTCCATTGTCAGTCTGAATGCCTGAGCGTCTCCTTCCAAACGCTGCACACTCTTCATTTGCTCCCAAGTGAGCCTCTTTCTCGGCCGCTCTGTCTGGGTTTCCTTCTTGCCTCTTCAGTGCCCCAGCAGAACACATTCCCGGGCTGGGTAAGCAAGTCTCCTCTGCCCTTCTTCACGTGTTATCTGACACATATGCTCATTGGCTGTGGAAGGTACCGAACTGCCACCTGGTCCTCCCGGTCTCTCAGCCATGGACTTCTCCCAAAGATAGAGAAGGGGGGGCAGGCAGCTGCCTAAGGCTTTCATCTGCCCCTGTGCACTGAGCTGGGAAACCAGGCCAGGGGCAAATACAGGTGAAAGACAAGATCTAGATTGGGTTCATCATGGACAATGCGAGGCTTTCAGAGAAGAGCGAGACATGCCCCACCCCTCCGTAGAAAGACAGGCTTTTGCATGGCAGCAAAGCTCACAAATAGCGATGGCTTAACAGCCCGGCCGGGAGCCCCATGGTGTGCCCCTCCGTAGAAAGACAGGCTTTTGCATGGCAGCAAAGCTCACAAATAGCTATGTCTTAACAGCCCACCAGGAGCCCCATGGTGTGTGTTGTTAGCACAGTTTGGATCTTTCATCAGTATCGGTTCTGTTTATTTTGAGCTCTGTGACTGCATCTGATGTATTTGAATACAGTGGAAGAATGCAAACCGCCCCACATGGCTGCTGTCTTCGGGGGAAGCCTCTGCAATCCAGTCTCAGTCTTGTTTTATTTGTTTATCAGTAAAATGACGTCAGAGCACGCTCATCAAGCTCACCAGCTGGGTGAGTTTATTAATGCAGTCTCAGCAACAGACAGTAAAGGCTTCAAGAAACGGGCACAACGAGCTGAGGTTGATGTGACCTAGAACTCTGTTTTACAGAAGTCAGTGTGCCCCTTGACTGCACAGAGTGAGCCTCACATCCCACCCTGCCTGCCTCATGCCAGCTCTGGGGCCAGTGTGACTGAAGCAGTGTTTACAATGTCTCTTTGTTACTAGAGTTTTGAGGGCCAGAGCCTGGGTCCTGGTAACTCTTAAAAGCTAGGCTCAGCCACTCACCCCCAATCTGCGGATTATGGAAAAGGGGGTGGGTACTTCATGTGGCCATGTTTGGAAGAGGAACAAATAAAGAGATTCACTGACCTCCAACTCTACCCAAACCTGACTTGAGGTTTACGGTTGAATAGAAAGAAAGGGGTATGCATAGCTAAACTCTCTTGCTCAAGACATGGTCCTGCCGGTCCTGGTAACTCTTAAAAGCTAGGCTCAGCCACTCACCCCCAATCTGCCGATTATGGGAAAGGGGGTGGGTACTTCATGTGGCCACGTTTGGAAGAGGAACAAATAAAGAGGTTCACTGACCTCCAACTCTACCCAAACCTGACTTGAGGTTTACGGTTGAATAGAAAGAAAGGGGTATGCATAGCTAAACTCTCTTGCTCAAGATACAGTCCTGCCCATCATTAACTCATGGATGTATTAAATGCTTTACATATGCAAATGAACCACACCAATCACCTTGGACTGATGTATTTAAACAAATCCATGTCCTGCCCCAACCCCACTTGACCCATCTGTGTGACTCTAGGAAGCTAAGACGGGTGATTCTAAATTGTTCTGGGCTTCCATATGTCTCTAGGATCAACCCAAAACACAAAACTGTCACCGAAGTCATTGAGAGGGAGACTCAGGCCATTCAATCTGCCTGTCCCAACTCTTGGACTCCAGCATAGTTCATCTGCCACTTGCAATATCACAGGGAGAAAGCTGCCGACCTGCATTGGCTCTCTGAGGCAGAATCCAAGGTTACTTCTTGGGCTCCTGGGTGAATCATTTAATATGGTTTATCCTCAGCACCCACAAAGTCTCTTTTCTCCATAGAACATAGACAATTTAAGTGCAGCTGAGCTGGTTTGAGTTGACCTAGCAGCCACCAGCAGGCCACGGAGAGCCAGCCATTCCATACACCGATCGCAGCGGCAGCAGACTCCGTTGGAGCTCTTATTTCCATGCGTTCGTCTTTCTGCTTTTCTCCCTTCACCACCATGCTTGTGCTCTGCTTTCTATACCCAGCTTCTCCAAGAATCTACAGACAACCGGATCTAACTACAATACAGACATTATTCTACTTGTTTCCTCCACCTGTGC